CAGCCTGAAATCACGCTCCACGGAGCAACCTTCTCAAGTGTGTGTGTGTGTGTGTGTGTGTGTGTGTCACCTGCTGTCCCCAAGGAGAACGACCACACCTCGTGAATCGCAGGGGGCTCTGGGTCCACTTTCACGCCAGAGCCAACGAAGACCGTAAAAATTTGGACGTGCAAACTTACCTGCCGTGGGGCCCTGAACACATTATAAAACGCAGCTCATAACCACATCGCACAGTTCCTTTCTTGTTGAGCTGTTGACAAAGCTGTTACCCTAATATCCGAGTTAAGTGCTAATGCGTCCTTTTTCCAACAATACTTGGTTGCCGACCCTTCGCCTTGCGGTTCTTGAGCGTCAAGGTCGAATGTAATCAGTAACTCCGATATAGCTCTTGCGAGCATGGCTCTAAGATGTTCTAAGTGTGTGTGTTTGTTCAAGTGTCTTTCCCCACCGAGCCCCGGCTGTGGTCCTGGCTTCTCGTTCATCAAGGTAAGCCAAACACTGTCGGAATCATCCAGCGGTCTGCCTTCTGAATTCCTCGGTGGGTGAAGAAATGAGGATCTGCCAGGATCTTCCCGAAATCGTGAAGACCTTTGAAGGTGTGCGTGTGTGTGTCCTCTTCAATCAAGTTGTAACAGGATCAGGAAGTGGCAACAATTAGGTACCGTCAGGATCTGTCAGCATCAAATAGGTCTTCCGTCACACTCTGTCTGTCCCGTCCGATCCGCCCAGACTCCACGGGAGCGACTCCTGCTTTAGCTTCAACTCTCCGGGCTTGACCCCCTGTGCAGCGTAGCACTGTGGTACGGACTACTTCTCTCTTGGGAAAAGACTCCCAAAACAAAGAGCTGGATGCTTCATACGCCAGTCTGGCGCAGGTCCAAGAAACAAAGCGAAGGAAGGTCGAAGGATGCCTATGATGTGGAATGATGGGTGATGGGTCTCTATAGGTGTAGGGTGCATCTTGGGACACGCAACAGCAGGACCTGCTGACTCACGACATCAGTAGTCTGGACATTTTGGTTCAATGGATATTGTCAGGTCAAGCAGATTCCACTTTGCCTCTGTGAAGATCAAACCTAAGAAGCTCTCGTTCAGCAAAGGCCTCGCAAAGCACTCGAGAGTCACTGAGCCGGTTTATCTTCATCTGTCTGCCTGCTGTTCCAATCAAGTCATGGCAATTCTACCAGACCGTGAAGTCATCGCTTTGCCGCTCATCTTCATGCCTCCCTTGTAAGTCTAAATCAACTGCAGGCCCTGGAAGGCCAGTGTACCTCCCAACAAAAAAAACAGTCCAACTTGATCAGTTGAAGGAAACACCCTAATTCTATGTTTGATCATTGTATATCATCATTGTATTGATCGCATCCGACTTCGTATTGCTTATGATATCTTATGATCTAAGTTGATTGTTTGTTCATCCACTTCTGTTTGAGTCGTCCTCGCCTGTCAACCATGCGTCGTTTGATCGCTTCCTCACAGGCTCGAGTGCAAACAATTTGTGGCTGGCTACGTGGGTTACTTCAACGAATCTGGAGAAAGGATTAACAAAAAGCATCACTAGTAAGCTACTATAGTAGCTTCTAGTTGCTAGTAATGGCCTCCACCCCAGTAGCGATGGCCACCGTGCGTAGCGTCCTTGCACGGTGTCACGATGTGAATCTACCCAGTCCTTCGATTCCTCGATGAAGGTGTCCATGATGGGCCACAGCAAATGCCGGAAGTAGTCTCGTGCCTGGAGCAGACTACTTTCAACTTGGGAGCAGATTCACAGAACCCTCCATCCCTTGTTCTGACAATTCAGGTCATGGTTTCCTGAGTTCCTGATGCGTCCTCTTCATTTTTGGTCTGGCCCTTGTTCAAAATGGGGAGATCATGGTAGACCTCAAAAACGAGCGAGACAAATCATACCAAGGCCATCTGCCTGGGGAGTGGTCCAAACAGTCGACGACAGCATGGCATGTAATGCTGGATCCAGGTCGGACATCCGCACAAAGTGGGGCAACTTCAACCTGAGGTGACACACATCGCGATGAGGGAACAGCTTGGGACCGGAGATAAGAACGTAGGGCTAAAGTGGGTTCATGGAAAGGGGAGATCATGCGCAAGGCCAATCTTCTAAGAAGGGCTCCATGGAGGCTGCATGGATCCCACAGCGGTGTCCAGAAGGTTGGCTATTAGGAACCTCTTCAGGATTCTCGCATGGTCCCAGTGCTTTTCGAGCGACAAGGTGGCCAGTAGCCCGTGGTGTGGCAATGGTGCCAAAGGCTTCACCGCATAGCAAAGCTTGGTCAAACTAGCAAAGAGCCCACGAGACATCAACTCGGGCAAGGACCTGCCCTTGGCGATGCTTGGGCCGGTGTTGGGATGGGTGAGATGAGTGGGATGAGTGGTGAGCAACGGAGATTATGGATCTACAGGTCGTGAGAAGGGGTGATTTCTAATTGGAGGGATCAAGAGGCGATATGGTCTCTGGGTCCAAACCGTTTGGCTTACGAGTTCGATGGTGCCGAAGCCTTCAAATGACGCAAGCACATTCTCCCGCAAACTCTACATGCCCACACAATATACCATTAGCACGGCCAAGTCGCTGAGAGCTTTTGTGCTACGTCGTCGAAATCCTGGGGTGGTGTGGATTTGGAATAGGCCTTGGCCCGATCCTCCACCTTGGCCTTGGCCCGCTTCCTGGGAAGTGCTGGGAGGTCAGTCAAGCCACCGAATCACCGCCAGTGGAAACCCTTTGAAAGTAAAGGTATCAACAGTAACGCCTTGCATGTACTGTCCGGAGATGTTTGGACGGGGAACTTAATGATCGATATGAGATTCTTACAGGTCTGAGGCACGTGTTTGGTCCGTGATTTGTCAGAAAAAGTGTTGACATTCGGAATCCGAGCACGGCTTGGGAATCCCTTGCACTGTTTCATTGGTCTTGACTCTTGACCCGCTCTCCTGATTGGGTGTTATGTTTATCTGTTCTCTTGATTCTCCCCTCCTTTCCATGAATGGAAGGCATGAATGGAAGGGAGGCGGTGTGTGGCCCTCACCACCCAGCTCAAGTCGTCGGAACTTCAACCCCCTCCCGAACTTCGCTCCCATTTTCGAAGTCGCTTCTCGGAGGCCTTTGCTACTAGGTTGGAGGCCATCACTAGTAATTAGGTTGGAGGCCATCACTACTAGGTTGGAGGCCACTACTATATACCAAATTATAGTAACAATTTTTCTGTATCTTTCGCAAACAAAGTCGCTTCTTGGAGGCCTTTGGCGCGGGCGGCGCAACTCGTGGCGCAGCTGGCGGCGCCACCCGGTCCATATTTTTTTTCAGGAATGCAGCATATGCTGCCTCTCTATCTCGTTCCTGGGCAGAACTCTTCGTGTTCACGTACAACTCCAAGCAATGGATAGAAAGGAACAAGTCAAAAGATTCAGAACGACTTTCATATCTATCAGCCGGAGCTTCACTTAACCTTCTCACAGGCTTCTGCTGTTCCGTATGCTTCTCGTAGGGTTGGCTGACTCTTGATGTCCTGCGAATTTGAAACAACAGGAGACAGGAGCTATCGAATATGGCTGACACAAACTTTAATTACTCTTCTTTTCTCTAGGTTTGACAACCAATCATTGGAATAAACTCAGGAGTTCATTCTGTTTGTCATCAGGACAAATCAACACATGACCCATTATTTCTGGCTCTTCGTCTAGCTCCTCCAGTCTGCTGGGGCTGAGGAGCGGTGTGCCGGAAAGCAAGCATAGTGGTTGCAATTTGAGTGGACATTTACGCATCACCGTAGAGGGCTTGGTGCAAAAAAATCGAACACATGGAGCCTTTCTGACCACTAGGCCAAGTCTGTATGGGAACCCAACCACGAATAAGTGAAGCATGATGCAGTCCAAACAACGGGTTTTCACTCCCCATTCCCTCCTATCCCGCGTCCTGCGTCTTTCCCGCTGTGGGCTGTCCCTGCGCCGCCCATGACTCCGCGAGCGGCGCCGGGCGTCGCCGTAGGCGTCGCGGTCCGGCGTCCGAGGCTTCGACAGAGTCGTCGAGTCTTCGGAATCCAAGTCGCGGGGGTAGACCGGAAGCCTGAAGAGGCCGAAGCTCTGAGAATGAGCCTAAAATAGCCTCCAACCTACTAGCAATGGCCTCCAACCTACTCGCAATGGCCTCCAACCCACTAGCACCTACACGCAATGGCCTCCAACCTGCTAGCAATGGCCTTCAACTACTAGCAATGGCCTCCAACCTACTAGCACCTACACGCAATGGCCTCCAACGGCCTCCAACGAATGGCCTTCAACCTACTAGCAATGGCTTCCAACCTACTAGCAATGGCCTCAAACCTATTAGCAATGGCCTCCAACCTACTAGCAATGTCTCCAACCTACTAGCAATGGCCTCCAACCTACTAGCAATGGCTTCCAACCTACTAGCAGTGGCCTCCAACCTACTAGCCATGGCATGGCTTCCAACCTACTAGCAATGGCCTCCAACCTACCAGCAATGGCATCCAACCTGCTAGCAATGGCCTCCAACCTACTAGCAGTGGCCTCCAACCTACTAGCAATGGCCTGTAACCTACTAGCAGTGGCCTCCAACCTACTAGCAATCGCCTCCAACTTAGTAGCAGTGGCCTCCAACCTACTAGCAATGGCCTCCAACCTACTAGCTGTGGCCTCCAACCTACTAGCAATGGCCTCCAACCTACTAGCAATGGCCACGAACCTACTAGCAATGGAACGTATTGCAACAGGATCGTGAGGTGTGTGATTTTCTATCTCATCACTGTCTCAAGTGTGGCCGCTGGTGCGCTCGAAGTCGTGAGCTGATTGTTCATTTGCGGGAGGCACATCCTCAGGTTTTGATCCCAGGCATTGATCCGATGGTTGAACTTCAGCGGACTCATGTGCGGAGCTCACCATGCCCCTTTTGCCTATTTAACCTATTTCGCTGCAGACTGCCATCCTGCAGGCCGAGTTGAATCCCTCCTCACCTGCCACGGCAGATTTGCCTTCTCCTGTCCCGCCCTCAGCTGAGACCAGGACCAGATCGACAGCCATCAACTTCTTGGACGTGTCATCTCTGCCCACAGAGTTTTGGTACTCGGGTTCAACTGACTGCACATCTCCAAGAACAATCAGCAGCAGCTTCATCGATATGATCCCAAACGTGACTCCGTTGAAGGGGAACCAGCTTGCTCTCATTGTGGATTGCTGGTGACCTCCTTGGACGCTCTACGAAATCATATCACCAAAGGGCATTGTAAGCGCTTTGATCCACGCAAGCATGTACCTGAAGTTGCCATCAGCCCTGATCTCCAGAAGCAGGTGCCCGGACTTTTCTGACGGTGCAGTGCCGTGGCAGAGCTTTCTCGGGTGCTCGGGAACTTTCACGTAAGATAGGCACTCCATTCTATGGAATGATGCTCTTCACCTTGGTCTCAGCCTCAAGCAAGTCATTAGTCCCTTGACGGGCTGTATTTGCAATCCTGCAGTGGCCTCTATGACTTCCCGGCATGAATGCGTGGGTCTTCGACAGTTGGCCATGACTCATCTTCGATTGCATGCAACCATCCTTCCTTGTTCCCTGCGTCTTTGAGTCGGATATGCTTCAACAGCTGCTCCGCCCAGGTGTCCTGCCTGCTGATCTGGTCAACAATACGCCCACCTGGCTTATTGATAGACAATTTCACAAGCTGCGGCAGTGCCCTGAACTGATTCAGATTTGTTTCATGTGTGACTTCCTGGGACATGGGACGGACCAGCAAGTACACCTTTTGGTTGATCATCATTGCCAAGAACGTGGCCTCATGATGTTTGTTCAGCAGATTCTTCGACTGTTGCCTTCTCCTGATGCTTCACGTTTTGTGGTATGGCTCGAGAAGACCTCCAGGCCCATCTCATTGCCTGCCCCACCCTGATTCAGATCTCCTCGTTACTGGCTCTTCCGCTTCATGAACGATTTTGGCTTGGAGTCCATGGAGGACGCTTTCACGGAGCAATCATTGGTGGCGCTCCAAGGCTGGGGCCTGTCGGAGGCAGTGGGAAAAGATCCGGATCAGTCCAAGAGGGCCAGGACCGCAAAACAAGCGAGACCGTCAGACAGTGGAAAGGGAACCTCCTCTGCGAGATCTCATTCGAGCCATGGGTCATTTGATGTTGCGCCACGACCAGGATCTCCAGGCGACGGCCCAGCAGGATACATTCATACTCTACTTGGTTCCAAGCCAAGAGGGAAGCATCCCTCTTCTCCAGGCGGCGGGCGCACCGTCAATGGACGGACCTGAAGGAGAAAACCTCCACCCTTCGATCGCCTCCTCTCCTGAAGCTGATGGCTTGCAGCGAACAGGACCCACTCCGGGTCACCATGGTGAAGAATGGAATTCTCCTCGAGGACCTGACTTGGCCGTATACCCAATGGGATCCCAAGCACAACAAGCTAGTTTTGTCCAAAACCAAGATGCCAATGCCTATGACGGCGGCTCAGGAGATGCTCGAGGAACTCCTCACCCTTGGTCATGAAGAGGGGGCGATTCAGAAATTCCACTCGTTGAGTAAGGAGGAGGCCACGAAGAGTCAGCCTTGGAGGCTACAGGTGGGGTTACGCAACGACCGTCTCCACAAGCTGTTGACTGCAAGCTGTCACCTGAGTTTGTGGCAAATTGCCAGCGTCCAGATGAAGTCTCATTCCTTGAAGGCTTCACCATTGGTGCACTTCTCCTTTGATGATTGGGGGGTCCTTCAAAAGGGCTTGAAGGCCATGATGCAATGTGGAACTGACCCGTTCTTAATCCTTGAGATGAAGCAATTTCAGACGCTGCCGAATTTACAACTTTTCTCATGTCCAAGATGGACTCAGCCGCTGTTCACAGCATCTGGGAAAGAAGGTTTGCTCGAGAGACTGGTGCGGTAAAAAGACACGCGCATGCCATAGGTGCACTCTTGCTGCATCTTCGAGTGATGCCTGAACCTGTTCACCCCCTTGACCAGCTTGTTGAGAATAGGCATACAGAGTCTGGCATGATCACAGCTTTTTCACACCTTCCTTCCTTGATTTGCATCCAGCTGGACCGACTCCGACCTGTGGCAGGCACCATTCACGGTCAGAAGCTCATGTCGAGAGTGCTCATTGATGCTGTGTTCAGGATTCCCAAATTCACAGGAGATGATACCCGGACTGAGCACCACAAGTTTGTCCCCATTGCAGCCCTGGCACATCTGGGACGACCAGGGGCAGGGCACTACAGGGCGGCTTTGAAGTGTCTTGATGCCTCGACCCCTACTGAGTGGCTGCTGAGCGATGATGACATTAGTGTCGTTCCCGCCCTCAGTCTCCCTGGTTGGTTTGAAACCCAGGTGATGATGGTCTGCGCCCTCCGTAAGAAGGATCTGTGCAGTTTGTCGGTAAGTTTTGTGACTCCTGCAGTGGTGCCAGCCATTGATCAGACGCTGGCACTTTTTGCTGACTAGTTGCACTGGCTGCTCACGAGGCAGCACTTGCACCCGCTGAGAATGGTATGATGAACGCTGTTCATGAACGGTGGTTGGATCTCAGGATCACCAGTCTTCCCGTCTGAAAGGCCGAAAAGGCCAACCTACTAGCAATGGCCTCCAACTAGCAATGGCCTCCAACCTACTAGCAATGGCCTCCAACCTACTAG